CCACGCATGGTGCGCCTAACACAACATGGTGCACCTAGGCTCATGTTGAGCAAGCCTAGCCTAGCAGTCCACAAGGCTAGGGGCAGTGCGATGCTACGGCTATGCTCATACTTGTTGCTTGTGATTTTGTGACCCTCGGTTTCGACGCCCTAGGCTCTATATTCGACGTCTGTATTCGTAAAACTCCTTCGACTCATTAAATCCTTCGGATTAATTCGTCGTCTCGGATCGGTTGTTCGATTGGGTTCGACCCGAAGGGTTCAATTAAGATTAAGCTGAAATATTAATTATACCTTAATATTACTGATCGGAAGCGGCCTCTACCTAGGCATTCCGATCACATGACCTTACTGAAGAATTAGCTCTGTAATAATTCTGATCCCTCTATCAGAATAATACACTTGTTGGAATGACACCATTCCTTTCATGATAAATGTGAGGCTGCTGGGTGCAGGCTGTTGTTTTTGCTGCTTTTCCTTGCCAGTTGTTGCTGTAATGCTCTGTTAGTTACCGCGTTGATTTCTGCTTAGTGCTATACATGTCAGGTTCCTTTGCACCAGATGCATAGATGGATGCGGTCAAGTCTTATTTTTTTTATATTAGTGTTCGGCTGTTTACCTATTTTGCCGGCATATAGTTTTAATATTCTTGCATATTGATGCGACAGAGCTGCTGTTTTCCTATTTTGTTTTGAAAGTTAACAGAAAAATGAAAATATGTAACTTTATATATATGTTAATGTTTATTTATCAATTTAAGTGAAAAAAATGCAAAAAAAAAAAAAATTATTTTTTATTTATTTTTTTGGGGTATTATTGGCACCGGTTTTGACCAGAACCAGTGGCAAAAGGTTTTAAAGAAAAAAAATTTGACACTTTTTGAACCGGTTCAAAGCAATAACCGGTGCCTTAAGTGGGGTTTTTTTTCACCGGTTCTTGCTTTGAACCGGTGCCAATGGTATTGAAAAAAAAAAAAAAACGCACCATAATAGTTGGCACCGGTTAACCGGTGCCAAATGCTTTAGTTGGCATCGGTTTTGAACCGGTGCCAAATTTTCATGGTTTTGGCATCCCTCAAATACCCAACGATTCAAAACCGATGCCAAAGGGGGGGTTTGAACATGTGCCCTTTTTATCTTTTTCGTCTAGTGATTGGCTTTGAATTCCCTGTACATGTGTTTTAATTAAACTAGATGTCTTAATGTAAAACACTATGTAGAAACCATTCATTTATGAAGTAATTAATTTTTCATGCAAAATTACTATTCACTCCATTGTTATTTAATTGTGGTTTAAAATTAAATAATGAGTCCATTCGATTTCTGAGAATATTCAAAACAGGTTATCAAGACCATGTCTTGGATAAAAAAACACTTGTTAAGTGAACATTGAATATTTAAATCGAAAATTATCCATAATCGAGGTTATTTAACTGATAGACAATTAATGACCACTGGAGATTAGTGTGTAGTATGATTTACAACACCGTTTCTTGTGCTGCAAGTACATAGTAGTCATAAATCATTTGCACAGGTGCTAGTTGGGAACTGCACCGGATCGACATATGAGAGTACTTTAAGAGATTTAAAAACGTCATAAGTACATTTCTCATTATAGCTATCGGAACCTATTTCCTCGACCATGAGTATTGTGAAGATCTCTTGTTTGAGTACTAGTCTCTTCGATGTTGTCAAATGTCTGCCGTAAGTGGGGATTATAACGGGAACACTCGGGAGATTAGGTCCTCTTAGTAAGGGAGGCTTACAGTACAAGACTGGGAATGTCCCCCTATTAATAATAGGGAATATGTCTTTGTTGTTTACAAGGCCGCTCGAAGAGTGAGACTCTGAAAATGCATGGCCGTGCTCAGATGGATTTTAGAAATCATCTTCTTATTGACAGTCGAACTCGGAGATCGAGAAACACTTCGGGACGTGATAAGGATGACGAAGATTCTTACGTTATAGTTCATAAAGAGACATTAAGCGTCATAGGAAATGGGATATACACTGTATGCACACTTGTCCGGAAGGACAAGTGGGAGATTAAAAGGAATAGTATCCTTCCAACAAGTGTATTATTCTGATAGAGGGTTCAGAATTATCAGGAAGCTAATTCTTCAGTGAGATCAAGTGGTCGGAATGCCTGGGTGGAAGCCGCTTGCGGTCTGTAATATTAGTGAACAATTAATATATACAACATTGTCTTGACGGAACCCTTCAGGTCGAACCCAAACGAAATGCCGATCCGAACCGACGAATCAATCCGAAGGATTTGATGAGTCACTAGAGTATTATGAACACAGACATCGGATATCGAGCTTAGGGCGTCGAGACCGAGCGTCGCAAAATCAACAAGCAAACGAGCAAAGCCGTAGCATTACATTGGCCTAGCCATATGATGCTAGGCTAGCTCGAGCTAGAAAAACACCATCGCAGATCCCTGGGTGTGCGTGCGTGCGTGCAATGCTAGCACAACACCATCGCAGCACCATGTGTGCTTGCGTGTGTGCGTGCTTTCGCATGGCAGCACCATCGCAGCACCATACGTGCTTGCGTGTGTGCGTGCATCGCTAGCACTAGGCGCTGGCATGTGTGCATGAATCGCTAGCACTAGGCGCTTGCATGTGTGTGTGCATAGCTAGCACTAGGCACACAGCATGCCTAGCTTTGCTAGGTACTTGCGTGCGTTCCTTCGCATGGAAGCACCAAGCAGCAGCAGCGAGCTTTGTGCTTGCGTGTGTGCGTGCCTTCACATGGCATAGCACCATCGCAGCATGCTTGCTTGCGTGTGTGCATGCCTTCGCACGGCAACACCAAGCAGCAGCAGCGAGATGAGGCCTCTTGAAGAAAGTATGGCAGCTTGTAATTCAGAAGCAGGGACAGGAAACTAACAATGTCAGGGCGAATGTGTCAGTGAATAATAGGTTTGACTGTTTGAATGATGAGAACCTTGGAAATGATGTGGGACAGAAGGATCAGATGAGACAGGATGGGACAGCAGTAGGTTATGCAGTATTGCTGAAGGAAGAGTGTTGTTTGGGGGGATGGAGGAAGGGGAGTGCTCTTACTCTTTACATGGATAATATAGGATTTTGGAATGTAAGGGGTCTAAATATGGCCAATAAAAGGTGTGATGTGTCCTGGTTTTTGAACCATCACAACATAGGCTTATTTGGACTCTTGGAAACCAAGGTAAATTCTAAGAAGTTTGGTAGAATTTTTCAGAGCTTTGGTGATTCCTGGTCTGTAACTGCTAATTACTTAAAGAGTGACAAAGGTAGGATTTGGGTTATGTGGTTACCTGCTGTGTTTCAGGTTAAGGTAGTCAGAGTTGAGATACAACTTGTACATATTGAAGTCATTCACACGGCTTCTGGTAGGAAATTCCTTATGACTATGGTCTATAGTCTCAATGATCCTAGGGATAGAGTGGAGCTATGGAGGCAGATCACTAAAATAGCTAGTATTTCTAATGATCCTTAGATTCTTGGGGGTGATATTAACAATATTTTAAATTTGGAGGATAGGATTGGTTCTCCTTGCACCCTTGATGAGGTTGAGAGCATTAGAGACTGCCTGAGGGATAATGAGCTCACTGATTTCAAGGTAGGTGGGCTCTTTTACACATGGAATAATAAACAAGAGGGGGGTGGATCGAATTTGTACAAAGATAGATAGAGTGATAGTTAATAATGAATGCCTAAGTAAGTTTGATAAGAGTTATGCTAATTTCTTGCCTGAAGGTGTCATGGACCATTGCCCTTGCTGCATAAATTTTCTGGGTATGACAGAGAAGGCTGTGAAGCCTTTCAAGTTTTTTAATCATTAGGTTGATGGCTCGGGTTTTTTGGATCTTGTACAATAAGAATGGAATAGGGACATTAGAGGTACAACCATGTTCAGAACAGTCAAGAAGCTACAAGATGTTAAACAGGCTCTTAAGTCTCAGGATTTTACTTCTTTGTCTACTATTGAAACTGCTGACACTGTGGCTGCTATCAAATTGATGAATATTCGGAAGAGTTTGGATAGAGATCCTTGTAATGAGGTGTTAATCTCAAAGGAAAGACAGGCTAAGAGAGTTTATCAGGAGGCTTATAAAACCAAGTATAACTTCTTAAGGCAAAAAGCTATGTTGCACTGGTCAAAAGATGGTGATCTTAATACTGAGTTTTCCCATGCTTACATAAAGAAGAGAAGGATGAACAACATGATTTGCAGTATTGTTTCGAATGAGGGCCATGTTATTCAGGACCCTAAAGGGATTAGCAGTGAGTTTATTAATTACTATCATAGTCTGCTTCGCACTGCTAAATAGGCTAAAAGGCTTATTCACCCAGGGGTTATTAATGAGGGTAAAATCTTATTTGTTGATCAACAGGAGATGCTTATTAGCCTTTTTCTGAGAATGACATTAAGAATTCTTTGTGGAGCATTGAGGATTATAAAGCCCCAGGTCCAGATGGCTTCTCGAGCAAATTTTTCAAGGTAGCCTGGAATATTGTAAAAAAGGATTTATGTGAGGCTGTTTTGTCTTTTTTCGAGCATGGGTGCCTTTTGAAGCAGGTAATTCATACAGTATTGACTCTTGTTCCTAAAGTGGAGGATGCTATGGCTGTGTTCCAGTATGCACCAATAGCATGTTGCAATGTGCTATATAAAATCATTTACAAGCTCCTTCGCTCAAAGCTGAAGTTGGTGCTTCTTGAGTTGATTAGTGAAAATCAAGGGGCTTTTTTGGGGGGTAGGTCAATTCTTGATAATATTTTGGTATGTCAAGATATGCTAAGGAACTATAATAACAAGAGGAAAGCTCCTAGATGCGCAGTCAAGGTAGATCTAAGGAAGGCATATGACTCAGTGCACTTGTCTATTATGATAAATGGGGGGATGCAGTCAAGGTAGATCTAAGGAAGGCATATGACTCAATGCTCTAAATTTCCCTGCTCGGTTTACTAGGTGGATCATGTAATGCATCTCAACTCCTTCCTTCTCTATTATGATAAATGGGGGGATGCATGGTTTCTTTAAAGGCCAACAGGGTGTGAGACAAGGTGATCCTGTTTCTCATTTACTGTTTGTGATTGTGATGGAATATCTTTCAAGGATCCTAAAGAAAGTTAGTAAGCTGAAGGGGTTCAAGTTTTACCATGGTTGTAAACAGTTGGGCCTTACTCGCCCTATCTTTGCTGATGATTTGATGCTTTTTAGGCATGGTGATAAGCACACCTTCCCATTGTTTGTCAGAGTTTTGAGAACTTTTGAACAGGTTTCAGGTTTGCGTGCTAATACTGATAAAACAACAGTTTATTTTGGAAGCATGGAGGAGAATACGAAGATGGATATCTTGAAAGATACTAGGTTTGTGCAGGGTGCTTTTCCTTTTAGATACCGTAGTATTCCCATCAATGCCAAATACCTGAGGGTTTCTGATTTTGACAGTATTATTGACAGAATGCTCACCAGAATCACTTGCTGGACCAACAGGCACTTGTCTTATAATGCTAGAGCTGTCTTGATCAATTCAGTGCTTATCAATCTTCATATATACTGGGCTCAGTGTGTCCTTTTGCCCAAAGGAGTGATTCTCAAAATTAAACAGCTTTGTAGAGCTTTTCTATTGGGAGGATCAGCTGTCTTGAGAAGTGCCCCCCCTATTGCTTGAGATTGGGTTTGTAAACCCAAAAAATATGGTGCTTTGGGAATTAGAGACTGTGCTTGCTGGAATAAGGCTGCTTTAGGTAAATATATTTGGAAGGTGGCTGCTAAAGAGGATTCTTTATGGGTTAAATGGGTCCATCGCATTTACTTAAAGGACTAGGATTTGTTGACTTATAACCCAAAGGAAATGTGATGGCTGGGTTTGGAAAAAGCTTTGTAATTTGAAATCTGATCTTCAACAGGGTTTTAAATGTGGGAATTGGGTGAGTAAGAAATACAAGATTAGTGATTGTTATGCCTGGTTGCAGGGGACTCAAACTAAGGTTACTTGGACTCCTTGGGTTTTGAACAGATTCAATGTGCAAAAGCACTCTTTCATGACCTGGTTGGATGTCCAAGGTAAGCTCAAAACTAAAGATAGACTGGCTACCCTGGGATGTTGTGAGGACTCTACCTGTTTGCTGTGTGGTGTGGTTCCTAAGTCTCATGACAACCTTTTCTTTAACTATCATTATAGCAGAATTTATATTTAGACTGTAGCAGCCTGGCTGGGTATAAGTGAAAGTCATTTCAGCCTGATAAGATCTTGGAAGCACTGGCAAAGGCAGAGTACTGATCAAATCCGGACAAAAACCATTTTAGCAGCCCTGAGCGCGTGTGTTTACCATATTTGGTTTGCTAGGAACCATGTGTTCTAGAACAAGGCGGTTATTGTACCTATAAAGCTTTGTCAAGCCATCTGTATTGAGGTCTCATGCAGAGTTCAATAGCTCATTGAGAAGAATTGGAAGAGAGAGCATTGCAGGTGGTTGTATCAGCTGAAGCATAGTGTTCCTAGTCTGTAGTTTTGTTTTATTGGTTGTTTCAGTTGTTAGTGCTGGTCTTGTTCTGGTCCTTGGGTTGTGTACCCTTCCTAGAAGGTGCCACCTCCCCTAAGGCCAGATTCATTTCCCCTTCTTACTTTGTGGAACCCTTCCTAGAAGGTGGCCTCTCATAGGGTGGGGATTGTGTTGTTTGGTGTTTTGGTTGCCTTTTTGGCTTGTACAGTTTGGAGTGTTATAGCTTTTCAAATTGTATAAGTTGTAACTTTTTCTCGTTTTGGTAATAAAACTTTCTTGCTTACCAAAAAACAAAATAAATAGATGAGGCCTCGCCCAGAACTAGCAGCCCAACGCCAAGAACTGCTATATGCCCAGCAGCATGTGTGGCTCGTTAGCAGCACGCATGTGTTGGGGCGTGCTGGTAGGGGCTGGCTGGCTGAGCTAGCTGGACAGCAAGGCAGGCTGCCAGCCCAGCCTTGTGCTTGATGCCGGTTTAGGAGTAGTGGGGACCAATGCTTGGAGCAAAGCCTTAGGGAGCAAGGCAATGGTCCCCCCCCTTTGGTTATGGTCCTCACCTAACCTCTCCTCTCCTCATGCCACTTGTTGATTGTTGATTGCATTGTTTTATAATTTATTTTTGATATAAATAAATTAGTAAAAAATGCAACTATCCCACATTGATCATGAATAGGAGTGCAAGTTGCATTTCCCTATAAATATCCCATGTTTGGGCACTTGGAAATCAACTGGAGTGGAACTCAAAAAGGCATCTCTTATTATTGAGAAAACCTTTAATTTAAGTTCGTAAAACTCTAGTTTTATACTTGGTCAAGTCTCAACTAACCCTCGAGGCGAAGATCGTTCGGGTCGGGTCGTGGGTACGAGCTGTTGGAGGCCGTCACGCTTGTGAGGCTTTAAGCTTCGAAGTAAGAGCTCGGTTTACGAGCGAAGCACGCTTCAAGGGTATTACTTCATTCTCCCTTTTCTTAATTGTTGTTTAATTAAGTTTATGCATGCTTTATTGCTTTAGTTATTGGGGCGGGTCTAGGGCGGGTTTCTTTGTCGCGTAGTGTTGGACGCTACAAAATCCAACATAATGTAAGATTGTTCGTCATCATTATTACGTCCAGAAGTGTTTGACAACATCAAAACGACTTGTACTCAAACAAGAGAACTTACAAAACTCATGGTCGAGGAAAAAGGTTCCAATAACTATAATAAGAAATGTACTTATGATGGTTTTTAAATCTCTTAAAGTACTCTTATAGGTTGATCCGGTACAGTTCCAAACTAGTACCTGTGCAAATGATTTATGACAATCATGTCCTCTTAGCACAAGAAACGGTGCTATAAATCATACTACACACTAATCTCAAGTGGTCATTAATCGTCTATCGGTTAAATGACCTTGATTAAGGATAATTTTCGATAAAAATATTTAATGATCACTTAACAGGTGCTTCTTTATCCAAGACATGGTCTTGATACCCTGTTTTGAATATTCTCAAAAATCGAATGGACTCATTATTTAATTCTAAACCACAATTAAATAGAAATGGAGTAATAATAAATTTGCAGAAAATTTAATTGCTCCAAAACCGAATGGTTTGATTTAGTGTTTTACATTAAGACATCAAGTTTAATTGAAACACATATACAGGGAAATCAAATGCAATCTCCAACATGCTTGATTCCCATTGCCTCCACGTGCTTGTTGGGCGTCACTTGAGGCAAAGGTTTAGTCAATGGATTGGCTACATTGTCGTCCGTTCCAATCTTACAAATTCTGATTTCACCCTCGAATTTCCATTCCCTTATCATGTGAAATCGTCGCTTGACATGTTTGACCTTCTGGTGTTCCCTTGGCTCCTATGTCTGAGCAATAGCTCCATTGTTATCATAATAGAGGTCAATTGGACTCTTGATGGAGGGTATAACACCAAGTTCACTAATGAACTTACGAATCCAAACTGCCTCCTTAGCTGCTTCCGAAGCTGCTGAGTATTCGGCTTAAGTATTAGAATCTACAGTGGTGCTTTGCTTAGCACTCTTCTAACTAAACGCTCTTCCATTTAGGCAAAATATGTACCCTGACTGCAACTTGGAGTCGTCTCTGTCTGTTTGGAAGCTCGCATCAGTATAACCTTCAACAACCAAATCATTACAGCGACCAGAGACCAGAAACTTATCCTTGTTCCTTTTCAGGTACTTTAGGATATTCTGGGCCGCAGTCCAATGCGCCTCTCCTGGGTCTGATTGGTATCGGCTCGTAGCACTCAAGGCATACGATACATCCGGCCTAGTACATATCATGGCATACATGATCGATCCAATAAGCGAAGCATATAGAATCTGATTCATCCTCTCTCGCTCATCAGGTGTGTATGGACATTCCTTCTTGCTGAAAGTTATGCCATGTGACATGGGTAGGTGCCCTCTTTTGAACCCTTCCATGTTGAATCGTGCAAGTACCGTATCAATATAAGTACTTTGGCTCAATGCAATCATCATTTTAGATCTATTCCTTTAGATCTTGATGCCTAATATGTACTGTGCCTCTCCTAAGTCATTCATTAAAAAGCACTTACCAAGCCAGCCCTTTACGGACTCTAACAGTTTAGTGTTGTTTCTAATGAGTAAGGTCATCGACAATTATAGATTTATCATACTCAACTCCGTGAATTTGCATGTAACCTTTTGCCACCAGTCTAGCTTTGTATATTGATTCATTTCCATCTTTGTTTGTTTTCAACTTGAAAACCCATTTGCAACAAATAGGTTTGTAACCTCCGGGAAAATCAACCAAGTCCTAGACTTGATTTTCAGACATAGATTCCATCTCGGATTTCATGGCTTCTTGTCATTTTGCAGAGTCGGAGCTCGTCATAGCTTGTTTGTATGTCACTGGCTCATCTCCATCGATAATTAGGATGTCTTGTTCTTCGGCTAGAACAATACCATGGTATCTGTCTGGTTGAGACATAGGTCGTTGCGACCTACGCAGGGTAATAGTTTCAGCATTTGCATTGTCGGTTTGACTTTGACCAATGTCATTAGCTGCTTCTAAAGCACTTTGATTGTCAGTTTTGTCAGATTGACTTTGTTGTTCGACCTCTCGAACTTTTTCAAGTTCGATTTTCCTCCCACATGTCATTTTAGAAAGGTGTTCCTTCTCCAAAAAGACACAATCACGAGCAACAAGCACTTTGTTCTCAGATTTGTTGTAGAAGTAATACCCTTTGGTTTCTTTTGGGTAGCCCACAAAGTAACACTTGTAAGATTTTGGGTGAAGTTTTGTCAGAAATTAATCTCTCTAATTATCCTTCGCAACCTCAAATCTTAAGAAAAGACAACCATGGAGGTTTCTTCGTCCATAGTTCATATGGAGTCTTTTCGACAGCTTTTGACGGTATTCTTTCAGAGTTGACAATGGAACGGACACTCCGTTCCATTGGCATTCTTATTGTGGTATTCTTATTGTCAACTCGCCACCTCGATCCAATCGAAGTGCTTTATTTTTCTTGCCAAGCTGCCTTTCAACTTCACTCTTAAACTATTTGAATTTCTCAAAAGATTCAGTTTTGTTCAACAATAAGTTGAATGATGCCTTGATATTTACTACCTAAAAAGTAGTACTATGTTTGATGAATCCTATAGTGATATTCATCGTAATGGTTCCAAGGTCTTGACGACGAGTATTGTCATAGGCCTTTATTCCTTGTGTGGATGGATATAAATCTTCATCTTTTATTCCCAACATTCTTGCAGTACGAAGTGGGCATACATTAATTATGGAACCATTGTCTACAAGGGTCATGGGCACATTCCTTCTTTTACACACCACCGTGAGGTGTAAAGCTTTATTGTGTTTTTCACCTTCCGGGGGTAGATCCTTGTCAGAAAAGGTAATCAAGTTGATAAGATTATGGAGGTCACTTGTAAGGAAATTGGCCTACCCCTCTAGAGTAGTCTTGGAATCTATTCCTACTTTTTCCTAGGCGTCCATCACTACAGCTCTATGTTCATGAGATGAAGCTAGAAGTTTCCAAACATTCGTCTTAACCTTAGTCTTTTTGAGTTGTTTGACAATATCATTGTCTTCTATAATGGGTGTTGGAACTTGTTGTGTCGTAGCTATAGGTACAGTTGTGAACGGTGGTTGTAATCTCCTAGACCTTGTAAG